CCATTACATGTCGCCCTGCTTTCTCTTATCTAAAAATATGACTGTTCTTGCCGCTCGAGCAAGTTGTCACTTCTTGCTTAACCAACTAAAATACAACTTATGACATTCATTCTGCAATATGGCTTTGTATGGCACTCATTCATAAATGTATATATAATGATTAAAACAAAAAATTATCTAACCCCCTCCTCCCCCCCCCCCAAAAAAAAAAAAAGATTTTTAATGATTATCTATATCGCTACTAAGTTTGAATGGTTGCAAGTTAGATAAGGCATACATAATAAGACAGAAACAAATATAAAAACAAAAAATAACAAAACAAAACAAAACAAAAACAACAACAAACAAAACAAAACCATGAAACTGTCTTTTGCAAAAGTCCAACATATTGGACTTACGGACATATTAACAAAAGACTTTCGGAGAATGCTTAGTATTTTATTAACATAAAATAGAGGGGGGGGGGGGCAAAATTCTATATTTCTTGTTTAACCAGTTATTCTTCATTGTTAATATTTTCCAAAAGTTTCTTTGCGTATAAAGTTACACAACTTTTCTTTCAAATTTATCCTATTCAAATTTTGATTGGATAAATTTGATTTTTAATCGTAGCATTTAAGACAAAAAAAGTTTTATCTTAAGTCTTTTTCTAAAAATAAACATTTTAAATAAATCGACAGATTGCTTCAAAAAAAAAGTTTTATCTGAAGTCTCTTTTTAAACAAAACGTTTTAAGTAATCAAAAAGACAGATTGCTTCAAAATATCTTAATTTTCCTTTTTTTTTTTTTTTAAAATCGTTATTCAAGCTATAAAGAAGGCTATTCAAGATTTCATTTTTTTTTTTCACTTTTCTTTAATGAAGTCAAAAATAAATTTTCTTTTAAAGTGCCAGTCAGTAGAAGTTCAGTTAAATTTTAAAGGTTTAACAAAAATAAACAGGCTAAAGGAATACCGCTACCTAAAAGGCTTTATAAAAAACAAATTTTGAAATTTTCTGCTTTACTCTAAAACGCAGTGAATAGCAAGTTAAAAAAAAAAATCTAGAAACAGTTAATAAGTATACCTTAAAGAGGTTGAACGATTGTATCATTCTTGCTAGAGTATTTTGGCAAAAGTTAGCCTCAGGACTTTAAAAGAGAGAAAAGTATTATGTGTTTGGTTGATGATGGAATATGATTAGAATTAACTTTCTAATTAAGTTGTTGCAGTTGGAAAGCTTTGGAAAAAACCCATTTAATTTCAACAGTAAATGTATACATAATTATTTAAACCATATAAAAAATGAAGGTTCGCATAGTTTAAAAATATTTTGGAAAATTATTGTTCAATTATTTGTCCAAGAAGTTGAAACTATGGAATATAGTTGAAACCAGCTACAAAAACAAATGGATAGCAATGGAAGAGAAGCAAACTTTACATCAGGTGTGCAAGATGAGTTCTATTTTAGTTTCATTAAAATTACAAAACAGCCCATTTAGCTGTGAACTAGACATTATTGAAGTAGATAAAGAAATGTTAAAATAAAAAAAAAGTTTGAAAAATGACGTTCTTTATTTTAGGGATACAAGTAAGTCATTGTCGCCGAGGTCTATTCTGTTTAAATACATGATTGTTGATATAAAAATACAAAGCTCCATCTTATGTCCACCAAAAAACACGCTCATAACCTAGATGTTCTACATGGAAAGTTCCGGCAGCAATCTTCTATCACATATGATGACTTTTATAGTTATTTTCCATTTTCAATAGTAAAAATAACAAACTGTATGAATTATTTTCATATATAATGCTTAATTTTTTTTGCTACTTATAAATCATAATGTATATTATTGATAAATTAAACAGAAAAAAGATTTCTACTTTTCTACTTTTCTTATATTTAATGATAATAATAATTTCATCTACTTTTAACAATGCCTTTTTTTGTCAATATATTCACTTTTAATCAAAGTAGAAGGATAAATAATTAAAATGAAAAAAAATGATTAAGATTTTCAGAAACAGCATGAAAAACTAATTAAGAAAAATTGGTTAAACTATAAAAAATCTAAAAAAGATGATTATGGACCCCTCTCCCCCCCCCTACTTAAAACTAAAAACCCATACCAAAAAAAACTCTTTGACAAGTTGAAGTTTATGATCAGTGTTTCTGTCTTCATATGATAAGTAAATTGTAGTTTTCTCTGAGCATAATTGAGACATAGAGTTTACCAGTAATAATGACTAAAGAAGAGAACATTTATTAAAACTAAAAAAAAAAAAAATTGATAAAAAAATTTATATTTATAAAAAAGACTAATTAAAAATAAAATGATGTAAATGTCAATGATGTATAACAATTTATTTTATTCATAGATTTTATTTAAGCAAAACAAAAAACAACAAAACAACAACAACAAACAAAAAACATACATAATCAACAAGACAAAAAAAAAAAGAAAGAAAGCAATAATACAAAGAGCATTATTGAATATATCAATATCTATGTTTCTTACATCTTCATAGTAGATACAATCAGACACCAAAATTATATCAGGAGGATAAATAAAACTAAGATTGCTTCCCCTGCAATAATAAAAATATTTTATAGCTGAAAAATATTTTAGTTAAAAAGCACTTAGCTTCCACATATTCCAAGATTCCTGTTCACAAGAAAAATACACAAAAATAATGCGTGATTCAGAACAACTACATTTATTTACAGAAAACACAACTCAATAATTTATAGTTTTTTTTTAAATAACTTGTAGATAAACCAGTTGTGATAGTGGTGTAGATTAACCAAATGCAAAAGTGGAATAACAGTAGAACTTTTATTTTTAATGCTAGATTAGGGGCTTAGCAGTGGCCTTACTTCAAAGATATGCATTTTGAGTTGAGACCACTTTTAACAATGTTACTATCCTGTGTACCATTTACTTTTAATGTCATTATGTTTCTTTAAAAAAGGTTAAACCTTATTCAAATTGTGCTTTTGTTTTTTTGTAGATTTTCCAAAAAAAGCAGTTTTGGTTTTAGTTTTCAAAATATTCTGATATAAACTTATAATGACTTATTTTCATTGTAAAAGAACTTCAAGAAAACTAAAAGTTTTAACAATTCATCAAATAATTATGATTTTAACAATTCATCAAATAATTATAAAAAAATGTGTTCAGCATCTGTTAACATGGCCTATAGAGACAATTTCGTTGTAAATCTTTTCAAGATTTGATATTCTCTTGCTTGTATTTTGGTACAGCAAACACTCATGCTTAAGCCATTTGAATTAATCAGTAGATTTGGGCAAGTAAAAGCACCAATAATGAAAGTGATCTGGGAATAATTGTTTCTCATGACTTGAGAGTGAAATATCAAGTAGAAGCAGCATCAGCAAAAGCCAATTGTATGTTAGGCTCTCTCAAAAAAGCTTTTAGAAGCAGACGACTTTCCTTGTGGAAAGCCTTGTACACCATATATGTCAGACCACATCTTGAATTTGCTATACAAGCTTGGTCTCCACATCTACAAAGAGATATAATTATGCTAGAATGCATTCAATAAAGAGCAACAAAAACAGTCACAGAAATCAAACATAAATCATATGAGGAGAGGCTCCAAACCCTTGGACTCACAACTCTTGAAGAAAGAAGAAATCGAGGTGATTTGATTCAGCAATTTAAAATCGTTCAAGCCATCGAAAAAATAGAATTTGCCGTACCACAGGTGTACGCGCCATCAATAGTAAATTACTGCCTACGAGGACACAACCGAAGATTAATAAAGCAAGTAGTCAAAAATTGCGAAGAGAGGAAGCATTTCTTCACTAACTGCGTGGTAAATGCATGGAACTCGCTTCCTGCAAAAGCAGCATATGCAGTCTCATTAAATTCCTTCAAGGATCGCATTGATGGAAAAATAACAAACAATAGACACAGCGCGTGTCTTTAAGCTGTCAGCATAGTAGTGCCTGGTGTTGCATTACTTCATTAGAATTTTTAATAATTTTTGTATTGTAAATTTCTAATTCTGAATAAACAAATTAAAAAAAAAAAATGTGTAATGCTATTTTTATTGAGAATTGTATTTAACTCATCCTTAAAAGACTCTTGTATTTAACTCATCCTTAAAAGAATCAGATGAATTTTCGGACATTGTACATTGTCAACATTAATCTTAACCTTCACATATTTAAAACATAAATTCCATGTTCCAGGCGATTGGTGCATTTGTAGCTTTATTTTTCTTGTATAAAGTGTCGCACACACCAAGATAAATTGCATGATTAAAGAAAAACTGATCAGCAATGTCTGTTAATTGCACAAGCTTCTTGTTGATTGATGCACCATTTAAAGTAGAACCTACTATATCTATTTCTATACCAAGACACCAAATAAATTGAAATAATTTTAAAAATTTTGCATTAAACTTTCAGCTGGATAAGAACCAAAATTCTTATAAGGCCAGTTCTATAGGTTTTCTTACCTCACTTTCATTTAGTTTGATACCAATGTTCCTTTCATGTCTCAAAGATTTGTTATTCATCATGCATAAAGATGAATTTATATCCCATTTGAACTTTATCAAAAATTTCTTGTTTTATAACTTCTTTTTTATAAGCAAAACCTTGATGGATTAAATTTAATTAGATTGTCCGACTGTTGATTATTCATTTAGAAGTTGGACATTTAGGAAAATGATTTCCTCTTGTCTATTTTGTATACACTTTTTATTTTGTGTTGCATAATTTTAGTTGGTTTTTAAAACAATTTAATGTAAACATATCTTTTCTTTCATTTAATGTAAACATATCTTTTCTGAAAGGTCTGGCTAATTGCTTAACTATTTAAAAAAGTTAATTTTTGAAAATGCTAAAATTGTCACATTACAGCAGAGTCGATGAAGCTGCCCAGTGGCAAATTAACTTTCTGCTGAAAGGCTGATCTTTTAGGGAGGCAGAAATGATTGGTGGCCTCCCAATTATTTTTAGAAGTAAAATGTTCTGGCTTATGCTTTTAATGGTTTCCGCCTTTAGTGGGTTTAACCTCTCAATTGGCATCTACAGCCCAAAAAAATTTTTGGAGGCAAAATGATATGGAGACCGACACTATAAGAGAGATGGAAGCCATTAGTGGCCCCCTTCAGAAGAAATTTTATAGGCAGCATCAGTGGCTTCTGCTTACAAACTGGCTGCAGCAGCCAAATGGAAGGCAGAAATACTGGCCTCCTGATGTTGGATGTAATAAAAAATATTTCCATACTTGTTTTTAAGTTAACAAGCAATTAAATATTAATTTGGAGCAAATGTAAAAAATTTGACATCAAAGTTTTATTTTATATGATTTAAGCAAAAGTTTTGACTATTTGAGAAAATTTAATTTTTTATTTATTCAATAAATTAGTACTCAAAACAAAAGTCGAAAAGTGGAAATTTTACTTCCATGCCATTGGTGAAAACTTCATTTTGACAAAAAAATTTATATGTAATTGAATTATTAGATTTTAATGCAAGTTTTTTTGAACAAGTCAACATGTTAAATTTTTTATTTATTCAATTATTTACAATAACATTGTATTCTTATTTAATAATTAGATATTGCAAAATAATATCTATTTCCAATAACAACAAAATTTATCTATAAAACTTTAAAAAGTATCGACTCTCTACTTTAAAACTTTTAAACGTAACTTTTAAACGTAAATTTTAAACTTTTAAAAGTTTAAAATTTCTCTACTTTTAAACTTTTAAAAATTTAAAATTTCTATACTTTTAAACTTTTAAACATATTAATGTTTTAAAACATTAATATGTTTAAAAGTTAAAATGTTCAGAAATTTTAAACTTTTAAAAGTTTAAAAAGTGAAATTGAAGGAGCTAGGCCATCTTTCATAAAGAGTCACTTCTGATTAATTTTATTTAATATTAATTGTATTTGCAGCAGTTAAACAAAGTGTTGAGAAAATTTTCTCATCAAAGGTTTGTTGTTTTTGTTGTTCACTTTTTCAAAATTCTAACCCTTTAAATTATTAAGATTCATCCATTTACTTGGCAGGTGAGATTATTAATTTATCGATAATTGAATTGAATAGTTTAGAGCGCCATCAGACCTAAAATAATGCTACTATAACATATATAAAAGCAGTTTTAACATAAATTAAACTGCTTTAACATAAACTGTAACATAAACATAAACTAAACTGTTTTAACATAAATTAAACTGCTAAATGTAATCCAAAGATGACGCCAATAAAAATGATTCTGTTAACTTTAAATTTTCACTAAATTTGGTTTCCAACTGTTGCCCCATATCTTAAACTATTTTTTGTGTTTAAATATGTTTTTTTTAAATGTTTAATATTTTGACTCTTTCATTTATTAAATTTGTCAGATGAAAGTATAAATTTATTTGTTATATTTTGAATGCATAGCCTAGACTTTCACCAGAAGTAAAAAAATGGTAATGTAAAAATCATTTCAACATAAAGTTTATTTAACTCGCCTGTTTAGAATTTTACCCTAAGGCTTACACCTTTGTAAACAAGTTCTCAGAAAAGATCTTTTTTTTTTTGATCATTCTTATTACTTGTTGTGAATGATATCTTCTGTAATTGATGTGCGATTGCAGTGTAACTGACCATGCTTATAACTTTTTTTTTACATATTGACGACGTCAGTTTTAATGTTTTAACAAATGCCATAAAAAAATTGTTATGTTATGAATAAATTTTATTCGTTGACCTTCCTAAAATTTTTATTCTATGTGAAAGCGTACCAGAAAAAGAAATTAAAAAAAATAATAATAACTATAGTGATTGTTTAAAATAAACACATATTGTGTAAATTAACAAATTATGTTATATTAATTTAAAACTATGTTTAATAATAATTATTTTTTTTCAAGTAGGCATGTATTTTTTATGACAAATTTAAAGGTTTGAAATTTTTTTTCCATGTCTTCCTAAAAACCGTATGAAAGGTTTTTAGAAAGACATGGAAAAAATTACTATATTTTGGAAAAAAATGTTTATACAATTTAAAAAAAATATATAATAATTTTTAATAATTTAAATAAAATTTGTTCATTCATTAAACAATCATTAAAAGTAATTTGTAAAAGTGTTTAGCATAACTTATATTAATAAAACATTTCAATAGATGAGATTTTTAAAGTAATTTATTTTAAACGTAATTAAAAACGTAATTAAAAACTAAAAAAAATTTTTGCTTTGAGTTTAAGTTTTTTGAGTTTTATTTTAGTGCTTATATATTTTCTTTTTTCTTTTTTTTTTAATTTTATTAAAGTTTAGCTAATGTTTTTTTTTTCAGCGCGTTTCTAAAATGTTTAAAAAACATTTAAACATCTAAACAGCTATGGTCAAGTTGCCTTTTAATTAAATAGTCAAATGTTTGGTAAGAAATCATATAAAACACAACTTTGATGTCAAATTTTTAATATTTGCTCTTAAATAATATTTAAATTGCTTGTTAACTTAAAAACAAACATGAAAATGTTTTTGATTAGTTAAATCTGGTGGGAGGCAAATATTTTTTGCATTCAATTTGACCGTTAAAGCCAGTTGGGAGACAAGTAGATGTTTTCAGATTCTTTGTAATGTAAATCAATTGTTTATTTTTTATGAAATATGTGTGCGTTAAAGAAAGTTTTAAATTAAATTAAAAACATTTTAGTTAATAACTATTTTGTATAAGTAGTGGTGGAAGTAAATATTGTTGTAATTATTTTTTCAGATTTGAAAGAATATGATGTTGATTTACTTGAAGTAATTGTAATGAAGATGCTGCTGATGAGACATAGTTGGCAATCAAAAAATATAAGAAATAAGACAGGTTTGTCTATGGAAGAATTGTGATAAGCGTAAAAACAAACATTTTGCTTACAAAAAAAATCTGGCCACGGCCACCAAAAATTAAATTGTATGATGCAAAAAATTTATTGGGAGGCTACCGCTAACTGCCGCAAAAGAAAAGTGGAAATGAGATGACTTATGCCGTTTATCAACACTGCATTATTTTTAAAAAAAACTGCAGTTGTTTGCAAAATGATAAATTCCTCTTTTTAAAATTTTTTTACATTAAAAAACTAAATATTCTAACAAAAATTTAATTACTTACAACTTAGATTTTTTATACCTTTCTATAATATATGAGTATTCAAATTATGCAAAAAACAAAAACAAAAAACAACAAACACAAAACTGTTTTTGGTTTTATTGGTTTTGATAAAAAATCAATTAGAAACCACTTTATGCTTTTTTGCATGGAAAACTTAAATTGTGTTTATCTCAAAACTATGTTTTTGTAGTTAGGCCCTGTGATCATAAGCCACTAAGTTATGAGTTCAATCATCATTATGTCCTTAATAGTATTACACTCAAGTCGTTTCTTAACACAGCAACCTTGTTTGACTTGTGTTTCAGAGTTATGGAGGTTGAGAGAGGGTTGACTTGTGCTTCAGAGTTATGGAGGTTGAGAGAGAAAAAAACAATTAAAAAAAAAAAGTTATCATAATGATAAAAAAAAAAAGTAAAAGTTATAAAAAAAAGTAGCCTCCTAAATACATTATAAAATTGAATTGAAATTTAGATAGTGCAGCAAAGCATTAGGCTATTTTGCTAGGTATGTTTATAAGAATAATTGTTTATTACTCAACTTATAACTATGAATATATTACCTTTTAACATTAGCTTTTATTACCTTATCTATTACTTTATTACATCGTAGAACATAATGTGTTTTCAATCCTATTGTTCTACTGTTTTCTTTACTGTTATCTGTTTTAACTGATTTTTACTTCTTAGAAAATTGAAGTGTATTGTAAATATATAACTGTTAGTACAGTTGTAAATAATATCGGACATTTATTTCACTTTTATATTTAGAACAGTATATAATTTCATAGTAAACCCAGTAACTAATTTTTTTCTTTCAAACCCTGACCCTGGTTAAATAAACAAATTAGAAGAGGTTTGTAGCTGATGCTTTAACAATGTTTATGTTGGGCTGTAATAACAGCTTTTAAAGTAAATACAAAAGATTTTTCATACAATTTAAAATATATAGTTGCAAGTAGAAAAAATTCAAACCCCAAACTCTTTTTAAAAAGCATAATATGTAACTTAACAATGAAGTTACATTTACATTGTTTACAATCATAAGTAAATATACTTATCTTTTTATTGAGAAAAAAAAGAAAAAAAAAAACAGTCATCTTTTTACTGAAATATGTAGCCAGTTGGCTATAATAGCATATAAAATTTATTAGAACTCACAAGGTCAGTCTTTTAACTCACTTTAAAGATAACTTTATAACAGCATATTTAACATCAATAAATGGATTGTCCCTTGAAAATTAAAATAAAACATTAAAGTAAGTTTGTGTATAAAAAAATATTTTATGTTTTCACTTTAAACCATTGAAACATTGCCTTATCTCAACCTTGACATTACAAGCTCTCATGTGAATAAAGTAACTTATAATGTGAATAAACTAACTTATATGTGACCTAAATATAACAAATATAGATGTGACATAAAGATAACTAAAATATATGTGACCTTGCATAAAATACTTTAGACAAAAAAATTGATTATTAATTATTTTGATTTATTTTTAATGAAGCTAAAACAATGCAGGGTTATACTTCGAAACAATTTACACCAGTTGAATTCACTATAACCATATACAAAACTATAGTTGAGAAACTTTAGTTACATTGTGTTCATTTAAATATTTACTAGTGTATAATTTTATAATTAATTGAGTTTAACTTCTTCAACCCATTTAAATAAAACCTTAAATAATACTATTTTATACATTAATAGATAGACAAATGTTTTTTTGTTTTTTTAACTTGTATGTAATTATTTAACATATTGATTATATATTCAAATGTAATTTGATTGTGTATTATGTTTCTAGTTGTCATTTCAAATTTTTAAAATAAATATATATAAATATACATATACCATAAAACTGCATACCATTTTAAAACCATTGAGGTGCATTTACCTTTCAATACATTTTTGTTACCTTCAATATTTTTTTGCATGAGAGGAATTAGTGTCTCTAAATCTGATAAAGTTACAATTCCACTAAAAAAAAATTATACCATAGATATGATTATTAGTTATTACTAATAATTGGTAGCATAGCTACAAAATACAATTAAAAAAACAAATAAATTAAACCTATTATACCTTTTAATCAACCAAACAAAACCCAACAGGAAAAAAAATATATATATAAAAACTAATTTAAATAGAATTACTCTCAGAAACTGAGATATTTTAAATGTTTTATCAGAGACTGAGATATTTTAAATGTTTCATCAGAAACTGAAATAAAAAATATCTCAGTTTTTGATGAAACATTTTTTTTTAAATTCAAATATAAACTTGAAATGTATTTATTTGAAAAACTAGAATTCAATTTTCTTAATAATATTTTGCATTAAAATATTTACAAAATAATATTTAACAACTTTTCTGAATAGTATTTTATAATAGATGCTGGTGATTGAAATATAATTCAAATATAATAAAATTATGTTTGAATTATTAATAATAAACTAATTATATTTTACTTTATATAAGACTAATTTTACTTTATATTTACTTTATGTTACTAATAATTAGTAACACAAAGTAAATATAAAAATAAAATTAGTCAATTAAACAATTTTAGAATAGAATAGAATAGAATAGAAAAGGTGCTGTACATACTTGAGGTTTGTAGAGTCTTAATTACGTAGAATTAAGACTATGACAGCCGATTACAAAAATTAGTGTTCAGAAACCGAAATAATTATCGATACTGTTTTTAAAAATGTTCAAATTATCTTTATCTAATATCCATTGTGGAAGAGAATTCCAATCATTTATAACTCTGTTTGTAAAGAAATGGTAACGAATTCTTGATTTTGTAAATTGTCTGCGTATTCTACAACTGTTACTTCTACTAGATCGCTCCAGCTCAAAATTTAAAGGAGGGTGGTGAAATTAACAATATCTTTCCCTTTTGAGATCTTATACATTTGAATCAGATCACCTCTTCTTCTTCTATCAAACAAAGTTGGCAATTCAAGTATCTTTCTTCATACGACTTCCCCCTTAAAGATTCAATTCTCGTAGCCCTGTGTTGCACGATTTCAAGATTGTCAATGTCCTTTTTCCAAAATGGACTCCAAACTGTTGCTCCATATTCCAAATGGGGACGTACTAACGATTTGTATAGTAACTTTAATGAAAGTTCATCCAAATACTCAAAAGAGTTTTTGATCATGCCTAATTTTCTGTTTGCTTTACCTATAGCTGAATTAATATGATATTTCCACTCTAGATTATTTGAAATGAAAATCCCAAGATCATTTTCTATCATTGTTTCTGTTAAAACAGAGTTGTTCAATTTATATACATATCTTGGATTCTTTTTGCCAATATACATGACTTTACATTTTGATTCATTAAATGTAATTAACCAATCTTCAGACCATTTAACTAACCTGTTAATATCCTCTTGTAATATTTTATTATCATCATAACAATGATTGATTGAAATAACTTTGGTATCGTCTGCATATAATTTAGTGTCTTTAATAATCCCTCTACATAAGTCATTAATGAAGATTACAAACAAAAGAGGTCCGAGTACTGAACCTTGTTGTACTCCACTAGTAACCATCTTCCAACTTGAAATATATTCCCTTATCACAACCCTCTGTGTTCAGTCTGACAAAAATGATTTACACCAATTTAACAAAGATGATACAAATCCTAGTCTGAATAATTTTTTCAGTAATTTTGTGTGAGAGACTGAATCAAATGCTTTTTTAAAATCCAAAAATAAAACATCAACGGAAATATCCTCTTCATACGCTTGCGTGATTAAATCTAATGTTTCTAACAGGTTTGTTATACAACTTTTGTTATTAACAAAACCATGTTGCTCTTTAGAAATTAAATTGTTTTCAATGAGGAACACCATCATATGATCTTTAATAATTCTCTTGATAACTTTACCAACAATTGATGTTAATGAAACCGGTCTATAATTTGTTGGATCTAGTTTATTTCCTTTTTTGAATAACGTTTGCACATGACCATAACTTTGGAATAGATCCTGTAATAAACGATTTAACAAATATTATTGCTAAAGAACTTGACAAAGATTCTGAACATTCCTTTAAAACTTTTGGGTGAACATTATCTGGACCTACTGATTTGTACATGTTTAAATTACTCAAATGTTTCTGAATAATAGAAATACTAAAATATGGATCAAAACATTTTGTTAAAAGATTATCGTCTAAAACTTCTTCTGGTGAGTCATCTTGTATAAACACAGAAGCAAAGAATTCATTAAGAGTGTTTACTATCTCTTGATTATCAGTAGTTATAATACCATTATGTAGCTTTATGGCTTTGATCGAGTCTTTAAATCTTGTTTTGTTGTTTATATAAGCATAGACACTTTTAGGATTGCTTTTTGAATTAAGTGCCAAGTTTTTTTCAAAATTGCAAATACTTTTCTTGACAAGTTTTTTTATATCTTTATTTAATTTTTTATACTTATTGACTTCTAAAAGACTTTTAAAACCTGAATTTCTGTTTCTAAACCAACATTTTTTCTTTTCTTTACACATGCTTTTAAGTTCACTTGTCATCCATACATCCATAGTGAGTTATTTTTTAGTTGAAAAGAGTTTTTATCTAAATTTAGAGTTGGGATATATTTTTTTTCATATTTTCTTAGCCATTTTTCGTAACATTCATTAACACTTAGTCCTTCAAATTCATTTATTCAGTTTATGTTATTAAAATACAAATCTAATGCTTTATAGTTTCCATTTTTCCACAAAAATTTTTTTTTCCTCGTTTGTAGTGATAATAATAAATTAGGTTTATTTTCATAACACCTAACGGTGAAAAATGTTCAAGAAAATAAACTCTGTTGCTATTATCAGTCAAAATGAGGTCTAAAATGTTAGTATCAATACCAAACTTTACTTGAAAACTAGGACTGATAACATTTTGGTGCAGGTAACAGTCATGTAACGACTCAATAAACATACTTGCTGTTGTGTCACTGTCATTTATACTTTCATTAAAACTTTCATCGTTCCACTTGATGTTTGCATAGTTAAAGTCACCACATATTAAAATACCAGAGCATTTGTTATTTTGTTTGAGTACATATGCTTGTTTTAATGATTTTATAATGTCAATACACTTTTCACTATTACTAAGACCTGTCCGGTACATACAACCACATAAGATTTGCTCTTTGCCAATTTCAATCAAACACCATACTTGCTCAATATTTTCATTTATTAGATATTTTTCATTTATTTCATAAGATTTTATATTCTCTTGTATATAAATACATACACCACCACCACGACTAAATTGAAGATCTTTTCTAAACAGATTATAACCAGGAATATTAGTAGTAGACATTGCTGACCACCAAGTCTCACAAGCAAATATAACTTGAGCCTTAGATCTGGATATATCATCAATGAATTCGTCAAATTTATTATTTAAAGAGGTCGCAATTGTATACCAACATGTTAAATAATCGATATTTTCTGTTTTTAAACCTTTTTGAAGGTCTTGATTTATTTTCTTTACCAGCAGTGTATTAGCACTTAAGTTCAAATGATTACTTCCTCCAGTGTCTGCATCAGGGTTATTTAATTGGTTATATATATATTGACAAGGTGTATGTAAAGAATGTTTAAAATTATGTGTGTTATACTGTAATGATTTGAACAACAATTGCTATTTGTTTATCAACACTACATGTTTATTTCTAATTACGTGATAGCTTTTAACTTGGTCCCAATCGACTTTTAGGTTGATTGGTTTATTTAATTCTCTACATTTATCCCTGAGTTGTTTATCCAAGTTTCTCTGAGCATCAGTTAAATCAGGATTTACATAAATAACATTAAACTTACGGTATGATTTTTTTATAAAGTCATTTCTCGTGTCCTTATTTCTTAACTCGACAATTACTGGTGCAATACCATTTTTAGATTTTAATCTAAAAATACAAACCATATGAAGTTTATTTATTGATACTTCATCCAATAAATCTAATACTTTGTTTTCGTCATCTTTCTTTATATCTGCGCCATCAGTTTTATTGGATTCTTCTAAACCAAAAATAATTACGTTCTTCTCTCTTCGTTCAATTTTTTTATTTTCATTCGAAACTGTATTAATAATATCAATCTGAGATTGAGTTTTATTTAATTTTCTACATGTTACAATATTCCAAGCTTCATTTGGAGCAGGAACAATAACATTTACAACTTTGTTGTTTAAATCTTCATTCTTTAAAGTTAAATCAGCAACTGTTAATACTAATGATTGTATTGTTTTTTTCAAATCTGCTACAGCATTACTAATCTTTGATTCAATTCTTAGTTTACTCTCCAGTGCATCCAGAGCGTCTTTGAATTCTTTTGCATTAATCATAATATATTAGTTATAATATAGTTAACCTTATTACACAGGGACTAAAAAGTTTCAGTATGTGTTTTTTTTTTAAATTAGCTAATAAAATTGTTATTATTAAGTAGTAACATAAAGTAAATATTAAAAAAATATAAATATATGCGATCCTTGCAGACTTGCCATAATAAATTATTTAATAACTAACCCTAATGCAGCAGCAGTTAGGCCCACTAAACCGGTTCCTGCTCCAAGTTCCAAAATAGAAGAACTTGCAAGGCTGTGTTTTTCCTTAAAATTTGGACCATCGATATATTTAGCGAGAACAATCGCTGCATCCCAAACTACACAACCTACATCTCCAATCGTAGCTTGACTAATTGTTAGCTCTCCAAAAGAAAAATCAAAAACTCTATCTATATATTGTTCGTTCATAATATTCTTGGGTCTCTCGCAGTTTATTTCTCATATCGCGCCAAAAAGTTACGGTAAATTTAATTATTCTAAAAAGACTAGTATTTTTATTTTCGTATTTTTTTTTTATTAGAAAGGAGAAAAGAAAGACAACAATAGCAAATCTTTTTTTTTTTCTTTTTCTTAAATACATTTTTTTTTATTTTTTTTATTTTATAATTATTATTATTATTGTTGTAGCTGCAAATTTACATAGAATGTACACATACAGCGAGCAGGGAAAACACCTCACTATAAACAACCAGTTTTATAAATATTTGTTCCAAACTTATTCCACAACCAGGAGTCTAGTCTATTATTGAAGGAAAGTACAGTGGAGTACAAAGTTATTTGCTCTGGTAGTTCGTTCCAGTATTTTGCTAATCTATTATACAAATGATTATATCTTAGAAGACAGTTTGGAACATACTCACGCCTTATTTTAGAATGGTGACCACGAGACATGGAGTTAATATACTTTGGTAGATATTTATCATTAACTATATCAAAACGATGTATTAATTTAAAAATTTGGATTAAATCGCATCGAAGGCGTCGGAAATAAATACTTTATATAATTTGAGAGCCATTTTTTTTTATCAATGAAAGTGAATGTCTTTTTCAGCATACCAAGAATTTGTAAGGACTTAGAGACAACTGTTTGAATATGAGCGCTCCACTTAAGGTTAAATGTAAAAATGACTCCTAAATCACGTTCTTTAGTAGAGCTTCTTGGACACTGGTTGGTTCCTTGGTTATTTTGCAGAATGTAATTGTAATGGGGGTTGTTTCGACCGTGAATGACGCAGCATTTTGAGGTGTTTAACTTAAGTAACCAAGTGTTTGACCACTCGTATACCAAGCGTAGACGACCCTGCAAATCAACAAAATTAGATTGCGATAAAGTTTTAGAAAAAAGTTTAGTATCATCGGCAAATATCTCAGAAGTTTCAGTGAGTTTTGCAAGATCATTTGTGTAGAGAATTTTTAGTGAAATCAAAATACACTTTTTTGCCAAAAATTCTAAGATAATTTGTTAAACAAAACAATAATATAATATAAAAAAATTAAAAATAAACAAAGATATTTTCCATAAAAAATATCTATTTTTTAAAAGTTTCTGCAAAAGTGGGTTATGTAGAAAAATCAAAAATTTGGTAAGCCTATTTTGTTCCAGAGAAAAGGACCCCGATAAGAAACAAAAAAACTAGTCTTTACTTTGATGGCAAAAAGGGGTAATAAGATTGTTATTAACAAGAAGATTATATTTGTTTTTAGATTACATGGAATAAAGATTTTGTAAAAAATTTGGCAAAAAATAGTAAAAACATTTAGTTGATATATATTTTTTTAATTATTTTTTTTAGTTGATATATATTTTTTTAAATAATCACCTCCTCAAGGCCGAGAAAGCCACTACAGTCAAAGGGGCTACTTTTTGTGGTTACAACCCTCTCCTAACTCTGAAAAACGAACCTCGGCGAACAAGGCCGTTGCGCGGAGAAACAAGTTTACATTTAAAACATTCATTTTAGCGTTATTCTATGAGTGCTTCCTCATATAATATTTGCGTTGCTTGACATGACAATTTATAAATAAACAATGTAATTGTGTGAGTGTTTTTTTGTTAGGTTAATTTGGTGTTCCCAGAAATCCTTAAGGTGTCACGGGAGAGCATTTAATTAGAAGTTCACGCCTCTTTCTTTATCAATGTCGCTTATTGGGCTAGAAACGTGGACCTCTGGGTTTTGAGCCAAAACCCTAACCACTGCGCCATGGCTCCTCAAATTGTTTAATTTTGATTACTTAATATACTTCTTGCTATAACATAATTTTTCAGGTATTATCAATAGTTATTATCAATATTATCAATAGTTATTATCATTATGGTTTTTTTTTTTCAATTTATACCAAAAAAGTCTATTTAACACGTTTTCTAAGCGAGCCTCATTTGAGATGTAGTGCATAAAAGAAGTTTGTGATTCTCAAGCAAGGAGATTCCATTGACAGGCGTTCAAAACTCATCTTTATTCAGATTTAAATATTGATCTTGAAACGGAAAAGTATTTAACCAACTGCTGACACCATTATCACCTGTTCAACAAACATTTTAAGAATTTGGCACGTTTTTTTATTTTATCTATGGTTGCTTTTGTTTTTATTTTTGAAAAAGTGTTACCAAATTCATCTTTTTCTTTCATAAAAATTTGACTGGTCAAGTATGGATTCTACGTCCAACTTTATAACTTTTTTGAATGCAGAATGTTGTCTTTGGCTTTAGTTTTTAGGTTACGCAGCTAGTAATTTTTCTGATATTAATTTGTCAACTGGTGTTACGATTTCTTTAAATGCTTCAACAATGCGTAAAAAGTATGTAAATTTAGATCTATAGCCTTTATTATAAATTGTGTTGCTTGTGGTTTTGTATAGGCAGTTTCACAAAAAATTTTCAGTTTGTAAAACCATTTACTCACTAGATCTTTATAATACTCCTTTTTATACGTTTTGGAACCATGTGTAGCTCATATTTATATTTATAGAGTTGCCAAATAAATAAATTGCTTTTTCAGTTTGTTTATCAGACTTTACGGTTAACTAGGATTTTAACTAATTTACATAATATCTGAACATATTCCCAACTTCCTTTAAGCATTTCACTTTTTTAACGACTCTAGTTTTCCTGCGGCAGCGGGATTGTCAGCTAATCACACTTTTTTTACTTTGGCCCCCACTAATTTTAAAAAATCAGAGTGCTAAGAGAGTACCATGGAAATGCAAAAGGGTCACTCTGTGATGTTCCTTCATTTGAAAAAATAGTATCCGTAGATGAACAGTTTTCGATAGGTACTTAGTACATAGCTAAAATTGAACAAGTTATTGTATTGCAACCAAGCGGTTTAGACATTTGAACGCGTTTCTGGCATCAATCACCAAAACACTATTTGTATCTTCTTGTTAAAATATTTTTTGCATGGCATGTGTTGCAGCTTCTGCTTCTGTCATTCTGTTTTCTTTTTGATAATGATATTTTATAGTTTTACCCATAATCCTTCGTAAAACTTACCTTATTCCTATGGATAGGATCCCCGGGTTTATTCCAAGGAAATAATTCTTTAGTTTGGCTTTTGTTTTTAGTCTTGGTATCCAAGAAGTGAGACCTAGATTGTGTACTTTTCAGGTTTACCAGTATAATTATCCAACAAATACAGTTTGTGACTATTTTAAACATAGCATTACTTCTTCATTAGTTAACATCTTAATAATGAGCTAGATATTAGGTTTCCAGAAAATGGTATGTTAGATTATAAAGGACTAGCAGCAGTTTTTTCAACTGTACTATCAAGAATACAAGTTAAGAAACCACGGAAATCTGATTTTTATTAATTTCTATTTATCTGAAAATGCCTCATTTTACTTCCATACATGCTGAGTTAGATTTATGGGAATTTTTTTTGAAAAACCAGTCAAATATTCCTTTAACTGTTGCTAGTATTTTAAAAGCCATTGACATAAGAGGTTTTCTAAATATAAGAAAAGCGTTTATTTATATATTAGGAACAATTCCACTAACCCACTAACAACTTGTGAATGTGAAAGAAATATTTCAGTTATATATATAACTAAATACAGTTATATATATATATATATATATATATATATATATATATATATATATATATATATATATATATATATATATATATATATATATATATATATATATATATATATATATATATATATATATATATATATATGTGGAAGAGAGAGCTGTTAGCTTATATTTATTTTATAATTTTTGTACTTCAATAAAAAAATATAACAAAAATTGTTAAATAAAAAAAAATAATTCCTATCTAGAAAAGAATAGAATCCAAAAATGGAATAATTAAAATTTCAGGTGAAAATATAAATTTTCCGATAAATATTGTTTTTGAAATCATAACATTTTAAATGTTCCGCAGAGTTTCACTCTAAAATGAATTTCTTATCCTTGGGGATGGGGGTATTCTTTTTGTTAAACAAATTTTAATCAATTTTGTTTTGCTATGCTGCACCGCACCAATGAAATATACTTGTTTTAAAAATAAACTTTGTTTCACGCTTTGTTCACACGTTGAGTTCAAATATATTTAAAATTTTCATTTCAATAAAATAAGGTTTACAATGAGAAAAACGATCAGCAAAGTTAATTATGCGAATTGCTTGTTTCTGACAGTATTAAAGACGATGTAATTTACTTTTTTCAGTACTTCCCCAGGCAGTATCAGCGTAGTTTATGAAGCAGTGAATAGATGAGAAATAAAGTTCTCTTAAGTTTTTCTTATTGAGATAAGTTCGAGCTTTGTATAAAACTCCAATGTTTTTAGAGACTTTAATGCATACATAATTAACAAATTGATTCCAAGTAATGTTCTCATCGAGATTAACACCTTATAATTTAATAACGGAGTCTCTTTTTGTTTCAATTTCAACGATAAAGATTTGAGGCAAGTTTAAGGGTAAAAAAAAATTTTTTTACTAAGCGAATGGAAGAGTCCATTTAGTTTTATCAGTATGAAATGTTAATTTATTTGATTTGAACCAGTGGGATAAAAGTTTAGGCTCTTTATTTACGGTGGCAAAAAGTTCGCTAATAACTCTCTTAGAGATGAATAAATCAGTATTATCAGCAAAGATGATGTTCATCAGATTAGTTTCTTTATTTAGATTGTTTATATAGATTAAAAAAAGGAGGGATCGGAGGATTGAGCCTTGTGGAACTCCACAGGTTATTACAATTGTTGTAATAGTTGTCATTACCAACAACAAACTCAGGGGCGGATCCAGCATTGAGATAACTAACTTCCTGACATGGAGCAAACGCCAGATATAAATATGTTTATACTTGTGTCAAATAAGGACGCTATGCAAAAAATTGCAATGATTGAAGCCTGGGAACAAAAAACCCTAATATTTTGGCCACAACTACACCAAACGTGAGAGCAACAAGTTGGCAAAATAATTTTAATTATTCTTGACTAAAGTTAATTATT